AGTGCATATATACAATTTAGTGAATGAGGAAAAATGTAAGATAGGATATATTTTCAAATCTAATCTTTGGGAATACACTGTGAAGGAGCATTCCGGGATTTCTAGGGGCATTTTTCTCTCTGGCACATCAGTTAAATAGTGTGTAAAACACAATACATGGAATTATTTGTTACTACAACTATTTGCAGTTGTACTGGAGACATCATGTTAAAGTGTGTTCAGGGTGAATAGTAGTTCTAAAAGAAGAAAGAAAACATTTGATCTGGTGGAACTACAGCGACTCAAAGTAGCAGAGGCAGCCACACAAGAGAGTCATTATATAATATTATTTAAGATGATGTTTGGCATATCATCGCTGATAGAAACTGTATGAAGTCTCCATATGTAAAAGGCTGTATTTGTGTCCAGTTTTATAATAAAGTTACATTCCAAACCTCAGAGATCTTATCTAAACTACTAATATTTGTTTTATTGAACATATTTACTGCTAAGTTTCTGGTCGTGAAATGTGCACCTCACAAGGGCCTTTGCAAAGACAAACAATCATATTTTCCCAACTTACCTCTTAATATAATTATCCATGCAGATATCTTAGATACTTAATGTTTAATGTGAACACATTATGATATACTGTCTTCGTAGTGGTGGTGTACGGCACTTTCTTTGCGTGTTCATAGCACTAGGAATGTATTTCAAACACTTCAACAGCACCATATTTTTCCAGAAAAGTTGTCTCGTTTTCCTTCTATCTAGACTATGGAAGTTGTAGTGTTCTGGAAAGCGAATCAAGTTTTTGTAAGTATTCAAGTGTTTTGATGGAGGCTGTGGCTCAGTGGAATAATGATCTTCGGATCAGGGGAGCGCAAGTTCGAGTCCCACTGCAGTCAGCATGTAGTTGTGTCCCTGAGCCAGACACTTCACCCCAAGTTGGGGATTGTCCGCAGTAATGAATGTATGGAAGTCTCTCTGGATAAAAGCTTGTTGATATTACTGTATTCTTCATAGATGTGAAAAGGGTGTTCAACAATCAGATCCAGATAATTTGAAACATAAACTGATCAGTCAACAAACTCTCAATTATTGATAACACTTCCCTATGCAGTTCACAAATGATACCTGAGTCATCATTTAGAGGAGGGTCTCAGGGAGGGGCTGCCATCACTCATTTGCATTGCCTCCTCTACTTGTTAGAAACTGGGTATCATTGATATTTTTGTTGATTAGGTCTATTTGATTAGTCAATGTTTAGTCTGAGCTGTGTGCGTCTCAGAATGATTAAAGAACATGAATGTTCCTGAACCTCATTACCAGTGTGAATATATGCTTTAAGCTTTTCACCATGGGCTTTTGGAATCATCTTATTTGCAAAGTTGATCATTCTGTGACTCCTATAATAATTTATAGTTTAGATTGAACTTCTTAAATGTATTGTCTCATACTAATCCAATGTTGTGTGTGTCAGGTTGTAAAGAGTGCTGTGAGCGCTGTGTGGGCAGCCTGCCCTGGGCCTCGCTCATCGCCACCATTCTGCTCTACATGGGGGTGGCCCTGTTCTGCGGCTGCGGCCACGAGGCTCTGAGCGGCACCGTCACGATCCTGCATAACTACTTTGAAGTAATCCGAGCCCCGGGAGAAACTCTGGATGTGTTTACCATGTGAGTGACCTTATTTTACCCTTATTTCTCTGGGAGAGTTTTCACGTTTTAGCATAATAACTATGACACTTCAACCCACACTTTTCTCAACACGGTTAGGATGGACTCCTCAGTTAGGATGGACTCCTCACAGTTAGGTTGGACTCCTCACAGTTAGGATGGACTCCTCACAGTTAGGATGGACTCCTCAGTTAGGATGGACTCCTCACAGTTAGGATGGACTCCTCAGTTAGGATGGACTCCTCAGTTAGGATGGACTCCTCACAGTTAGGATGGACTCCTCACAGTTAGGATGGACTCCTCAGTTAGGATGGACTCCTCACAGTTAGGATGGACTCCTCAGTTAGGATGGACTCCTCACAGTTAGGATGGACTCCTCAGTTAGGATGGACTCCTCAGTTAGGATGGACTCCTCACAGTTAGGATGGACTCCTCACAGTTAGGATGGACTCCATAGTTAGGATGGACTCCTCACAGTTAGGATGGACTCCTCACTGTTAGGATGGACTCCTCACAGTTAGGATGGACTCCTCAGTTAGGATGGACTCCTCAGTTAGGATGGACTCCTCACAGTTAGGATGGACTCCTCAGTTAGGATGGACTCCTCACAGTTAGGATGGACTCCTCAGTTAGGATGGACTCCTCAGTTAGGATAGACTCCTTAGTTAGGATGGACTCCTCAGTTAGGATGGACTCCTCACAGTTAGGATGGACTCCTCACAGTTAGGATGGACTCCTCACAGTTAGGATGGACTCCTCACAGTTAGGTTGGACTCCTCACAGTTAGGATGGACTCCTTAGTTAGGATGGACTCCTCACAGTTAGGATGGACTCCTCAGTTAGGATGGACTCCTCACAGTTAGGATGGACTCCTCAGTTAGGATGGACTCCTCACAGTTAGGATAGACTCCTCAGTTAGGATGGACTCCTCAGTTAGGATGGACTCCTCACAGTTAGGATAGACTCCTCAGTTAGGATGGACTCCTCAGTTAGGATGGACTCCTCACAGTTAGGATGGACTCCTCTGTTAGGATGGACTCCTCAGTTAGGATGGACTCCTCAGTTAGGATGGACTCCTCAGTTAGGATAGACTCCTCAGTTAGGATGGACTCCTTAGTTAGGATGGACTCCTCACAGTTAGGATGGATTCCTCACTGTTAGGATGGACTCCTCACAGTTAGGATGGACTCCTCAGTTAGGATGGACTCCTCACAGTTAGGATGGACTCCTCAGTTAGGATGGACTCCTCAGTTAGGATGGACTCCTCACAGTTAGGATGGACTCCTCAGTTAGGATGGACTCCTCACAGTTAGGATGGACTCCTCAGTTAGGATGGACTCCTCACAGTTATGATGGACTCCTCACAGTTAGGATGGACTCCTCACAGTTAGGATGGACTCCTCACAGTTAGGATGGACTCCTCAGTTAGGATGGACTCCTCACAGTTAGGATGGACTCTTTAGTTAGGATGGACTCCTCACAATTAGGATGGACTCCTCATAGTTAGGGTGGACTCCTCAGTTAGGATGGACTCCTCAGTTATGATGGACTCCTCACAGTTAGGGTGGACTCCTCAGTTTGGATGGACTCCTCAGTTAGGATAGACTCCTCAGTTAGGATGGACTCCTTACAGTTAGGATGGACTCCTCACAGTTAGGATGGACTCCTCAGTTAGGATGGACTCCTCACAGTTAGGATGGACTACTCACAGTTAGGTTGGACTCCTCACAGTTAGGATGGACTCCTTAGTTAGGGTGGACTCCTCAGTTTGGATGGATTCCTCACAGTTAGGATGGACTCCTCAGTTATGATGGACTCCTCACAGTTAGGGTGGACTCCTCAGTTTGGATGGATTCCTCAGTTAGGATGGACTCCTCACAGTTAGGATGGACATTTATCCTGAGGCTGTCCACATCATTGCGGGGGACTTTAACCATGCCAACTTAAAGGTAGTGCTTCCCAGACTCTACCAGCATGTTAAATGTGCCACGAGGGGGGATAAAACACTGGACAAGGTCTACACTAATATTAAGGGGGGCTACAGAGCTAAAGCGCTAGCGCACCTAGGCCAGTCAGATCATGTGTCCCTTCTCCTAATTCCGGCCTACTCCCCGATCAGGAAAAGTTTTTCCACCACTATAAAGACATTTGAAACCTGGCCTTTAGACGCCACTCCACAGCTGCAAGACTGTTTTGAGAACACCGACTGGGGGGTTTTCGAACATGAGGACCTGGAACAGTACACATCAGCGGTCCTGGGATACATCAAGCACTGTTCAGACTCCGTCACTGTGGATAAGCGCATCCGGGTTCATCCCAACAAGAAGCCGTGGATGACTGGAGAAGTGCAGCGCCTGGTCAGGGAAAGGGACATTGCCTTCAGGACAGGTGAGAGGGAGCTGTACAGCACTGCCAGAGCCGACCTGAAGCGGGGGATCAAGCGGGCCAAGATGGACTACAAGGGGAAGATTGAGGACTGCTTCCGGGGCAACGACTCCAGGCGGGTGTGGCAGGGGGTCCAGCAAATGACCAACTACAAACCCAGCCACCCCTCGGCCGACGGGGGTGACCCTCAGCTGGCGGAGGAGCTAAACTCCTTCTACGCCCGCGACGAGACAGGGCTATCGGAAGCAGCCACACCATTACATCCACCTGCCCTCAGCAGCCTCACCCTCACGGAGCACGAGGTGAGACGCACACTGAAGGCAGTGAACCCGAGGAAAGCAGCGGGGCCGGACGGAGTCTTGGGACGGGTGCTGAGAGACTGCGCTGACCAGCTGGCGGGGATCTTCACCAAGATCTTCAACCAGTCCCTGTCCCAGGCCATCGTCCCATCCTGCCTGAAAACATCCACAATCATCCCGGTGCCGAAAAAGAACAACATTGGCTGCCTAAATGACTACCGTCCAGTGGCACTCACCTCCACCCCGCTAAAGTTTTTAAGAAGGTGGTCCGTCCCCACATCGTCTCATCCCTCCTTCCTGGTCTGGACCCCCACCAGTTCGCCTACAGGGCCAACAGGTCCACGGAGGACGCCATCGCCCGGCGTAACGAGCACTTCGTACGGCTGCACTCAGGCAGGCGCTTCCGTACCATGTCTTCCCGGACAAACAGACTCAAGTTCAGTTTTTTTCCCAGGGCCATATGTGCACTAAACGCTGCTAATATTTAAGTTATCATGTCTTCCGTGCAATACGAGGGGAATCGTGCAATTTAATTTATTTATTATTTATTTATGTACATATTCCCTATCATGTCTTTTTTAAGTCTTTTTTAAGTCCCATTTATTGTTTTTATTGTTTTTATAGTGTCTTGTTGTTTTTATATTGTCTTGTTGTTTTTATATTGTCTTGTTGTTGCGTGTTGGCACCTTGAGTTTATTGTAATTTCGTTGTACCTGTACAATGACAAATAAAGATCTATCTATCTATTTTCACAGTGCTGAGTTGTGTTTATGTTTTAATTCAACATGACTGATGGTGATATGCACAGTAGTACTAACTAATCATACTAACTGATTCATTTGGATTAATATGTGTGGACACAGGCCAAAGTATCTAAATGTGCTTTTATTTGTCCATCCAATAGAAATGGTAGTTTCCCAACATAAATGTGTGTGATCCTCCTAAAATCGCATTCTCTTTTCCTGATGAATTCCCCACCAAAAATGTCATAACCCCATGACGGTTTTCACTGAAGTTTAGAAATCATGGTTAGGATATGAATATTTGGACATTCTACTGCAACCGAAAGAGAGAGCCAGCCCGCAGGAGACCCACACGGCCGGTCTCATGGCCCAGGGAGACTGGCCAGGTGCTCCATGTTGCCAAGATTAACCACGACTACCAGACCTGTGAAGGAACACACAACAACAGACACGTGAAACACGATCACACACGAGCACACACACATCAACAGGCTCTGTTAAAGCAGAGCGTCACATCAGTGATATACTAAAGAGGAAACGTGTTGTTTTCTACACCAATGCCAAAACCAACCCACCCCCATCCAATCCATCATCTTCTTTGAATTTGTTGATGGCGGGTACACAAGATGATTTAGCTGATATAAGATATAATATAAAGTCTACAACTAACACTTACAGATGCAGTATTGAAAAATAAACTGCGTGTTTGTTTGGTCTCTTCAAAGTATTGACATCCTGAAGTACATCATCTATGGCCTTGCAGCTGGGTTCTTTGTGTTTGGAGTGCTGCTGCTGGTGGAGGGTTTCTTCACCACGGGGGCCATCAGGGATCTGTATGGAGAGTTCAAGATCTCTGCCTGCGGACGCTGCCTGACTGCATTCGTAAGAAATCTTTGTAACCAGTACACTTGATTTGATACATTGACATTTCAAATAGTATTGTTAATATTCACAGGGCTCTGTGAAGTAGAATGACTGGTAACATCTTATGTTGCCAAAGTGTTGAAAACACCAACAATGAAATAAACCCAATAACAAATATTTCTTGTTTTATTAAAGTGTCATAGACTTAGAGCTTAATTGAAACAATGAAAATCTCACCAGTGAGTCACACAATAGCATTGACATGTTCCTTCATTACCATAAACACACACACACACACACACACACACACACACACACACACACACACACACACACCCACACACACACACACACACACACACACACACACACTGAGTAATTTTCTTTTCTTTTTAAAAGAGTTTTTAAGGTGGGTTGATAACACATTGTGTGCGGTGTGTGTGTTTGCAGCTGATGTTCCTGGCATACCTGTTCTTCCTGGTGTGGCTGGGGGTGACGGCCTTCACCAGCCTGCCGGTCTTCATGTACTTCAACGTGTGGTCCATGTGTCAGAACACAAGCCTGGTGGAGGGAGCCAACCTCTGCCTGGACCTGCGTCAGTTTGGTATGTGACAAGCTAACATGAAACATCTGGATGGATTTGTCATAATTACTCAATTTCAAATAAATTGTTATCTTTGAAATTGAAAATCAGAGCTAAAGACATTGTAAATATCTGTCTCCTCCTTTTGGGGTTGTTTAAAGCAGCGTTTCTCAAAGTGTGTGATAGTTGGGTCGCGAATGGACGCGATGAACGGGAGATTATTATTTTTGTATTTTAAAAAAAATGTTTTGGACCTCAGGCCGGAATCGAACCTGGGTCCTCGCGGGCGGTAGTGGATTGTTACAGCCGGAGACTCGCAACGGCGGTGGACTTTCACAGCACCGCTGCGCCGGACCTACCGGAGCCGCCAGAGCCTCGCAACGGCGGGTGTTTGCGGCAGCGGATGCGGTACAGGCGCAGCAGCGCTGTGAAAATCCACGGCCCACCTATGCCAGAGCCAGCGGCCCACCAACGGCAGCAGCCCACCAACGGCAGCAGCCCACCAACGGCAGCAGCCCACCGGGAAAAGTCCCGAATCTCCCGATGGCCAATGCATCAATCTGGTGCACTTTGAGCACAACATGAATTTATGGACATCTTTAGAATATGATCACAACCAATAACAAATCATTTAAACTTGTTTATTCTTATCTTATGTTACCTAGTTAGCATTCTTCCTTTCTATTTATGCATATTTTACTAATCACTCCCCTTTTAAACAGTTTACTGTCCTATAGTAGCCTACACATTGGAATGATTTCTTACTTTATTTTGTACAACTAGTCTATATTAAATAGATAAATGTGTGCTCTCTCTAGCTCTCTCTCTCTCTCCCTCTGTCTCGCTCGCTCACAGACGGTGAGGTGTTAACAAATAATAATAAACATAGGCCTATTCATAAAGTGGGGGGACACAAACATGCAAAGTGTCACTGTTAAACTCCTTATGAGTGGTGAGGTGCCGATCCACGTTGTTTTTATTCCCGAATGCAACGCTGGTGTGTGTGTGTGTATGTGTGTGTGTGTGTGTGTGTGTGTGTGTGTGTGTGTGTGTGTGTGTGTGTGTGTGTGTGTGGGTGTGTGTGTGGGTGTGTGTGTGTGTGTGTGTGTGTGTGTGTGTGTGTGTGTGTGTGTGTGTGTGTGTGTGTGTGTGTGTGTGTGTGTGTGTGTGTGTGTGTGAGAGCGTTTCACATGTGTGTATGAGAGATTTTTACATATGTCTGTAAATGACTTTGGCCAGTAAATGACCAGATTGATGCATTGGCCATCGGGAGATTCGGGACTTTTCCCGGTGGGCCGCTGTCGTTGGTGGGCCGCTGGCTCTGGCATATAGGTGGGCCGTGGACTTTCACAGCATTGCCTTTGCGAGGCTCCGTCAGCTCCGGCGCAGCGGCGCTGTGAAAGTCCACCGCCGTAGCGAGTCTCCGGCTGTAACAGTCCACTACCGCCCGCAAGGACCCAGGTTCGATTCCGGCCTGAGGTCCACATTTTAAAAAAAGAAAAGAAAATCTCCCGTTAATCGCGTCCATTCGCGACCCACCTATCACATCTCTGTCCCCTTCCTCCTCACCTACTCTGCAGACACCCTTTGCATTTCCTGGACACCTTAAGAAAGGCTTTGTGTCTTTTTTTTGGGGGGGGGGGATTTTTTTGTTGTTGCTTGGATTTAAGGATATATTGTCTGTAAAAACCATAGGTAAAAACCAACCCGGTATCACGGCAAGACGTGAACATGTGACGGTTTACCATGCTGGGAGACGTGAAGATGTCACGGTTTCGTCCCCTTCAAACGTGACAGCTACACGGTATTGTTAACCAGTGGAGAAATAACCGGAAATACCAAGCAAATGCTACCCCGACGTAATGATTTATTTTTTAATAGTCAAACTCGATTACAGCGATTTTCTGCCCCAGCTGGTCGACACCTCTTTTAGCATAAACAAAGGCTACATTAATGTATTAAATCGATGTTAATCCATGCGTGTGGATGTGGAATTAACGGACGTGACGTTGTGCGATTGAGTTGCCAAGCAACAGCTTCGGTTCATGTTAATTTACAAACTATTCAACTACAACCGTAGTTATATTTAAAAACATGTTAGAAGGCCTCACGAAATACTTTAATGCACATTAAAATGTAAATGTGAAGGAATGTGTGTATAACAAAATACATCGGTCATTAAACGAAACCGGAAACAGACGTAGGCAAGATCCTCAGCTCGATGATTGGATGGTTATCCGCAATGCATGCTGGGATTTGGTGTTTATGTGATGTGAAATCTGAAAACGTTTTTTAAAAATACAATAATACTTTATTCCGAGTGTGCTTGCTTTTCTCTTTGAAAGTCATCACATAACGGCATTGTAATACACGGTTCGGCTGCATTAAATATGACATATCTGCCGTAGTTCTTTATTTATAGAGCCCTGATGAGAAGACTTCTAGACAAACAGGAGAACTGCCGCCAAAACTGAAGATGTGACGTGGATCATAAATATATAAGCAATTATACAACATCTTACATTTATTTTCACACAATACGTCTCCTTGCAGTATCAACACTAATTCGGCTGACTTTTATATTTGATCCAATCGGTAGATAGGCTGTATTTACACCATAAAGGTGCACAGCTGATATAAAGGGACACCTGGTGGTCAAAGCACGTTATTGAATTTTATTATTTTATTATTAGATATTAATAGGATCTCTATAAAGTATATTCATTACTCGTTATTCTCTACTAATAGTTCATTAAAGACTGTATATAATGACTAGTTTGAACATCCCTTTCAAGATTTCAAGATTTTCTAAGCTAAGGTTTATTGACATATCATATTATACACAACTACTGTGTAGTTATGCAATGAATGAAAAACTTGGGTCGCAGGTTCCTCAACAGTGCATTACAAGACATCTATCAATATGTGTGTATACTCCACCATTAAACTGTCATTCTGCACATTTCTTATACTATCTACATACATCTTATAAGAGTATAATACATATGTATAATATCAGTTTAATAATAAACAAATAATAAACAAATAAGTGCTTAAACATAGTTAACATTGCAGGAAAGCAATATATTAGACGTTAAGTACTTTGTCAGGCTTAATATTTATCTGTAGATACAAATGTCACTGTGTGTGCTGTGTGCTCTGCATGTGTGACCATTAAATAATCAGAATACCTTTATTAGTTCCACAGAGGGGAAATGTGCAGCGTTACAGCAGGAAAGAGCCACAGACAGCTTAGTGTTGCATATCTTACATGCGTTAAAAAAAGTACTAAGTTAGAATAAAATAAACAATATGCTAAAAAAGTACTAAGTTATAATATAATAAACAATATGCTAAAAAAAAGATAAAAAGTTACATAATTTTCAAAAATACAGATCAAAAACAAAACGGCATAGCATATATTACACAGTTATTAATGGCTTATATATATATTGCACATATAGCACATATTGCACAAAGTTGGTTTGTATTTAGCAGCAAGGGGTGTTATAGTCTGTGTTGTGGTGTGTGTAGGAGGGTCTACTAGGGGCAGTGCTGGTTGTAAAGTCTGACCGCTGCAGGAAGGAAGGACCTGCGGTTTCAAGAGGGTTTCATCCCTCCATATTCCAGACCTTAACCTAAAGTACTCTTTAATGTTTAAATTAAGCCTTATTAGTTTGTCTGTTTTGCACATCCTCCTATTAATATCTAATAATAAAATAATACAATTCAATAACGTGCTTTGACCACCAGGTGTCCCTTTCTATCAGCTCTGCACGGTTATGGTTTAAATACAGCCTATCTACCAATTGGATCAAATATAAAAGTCAGCCGAATTAGTGTTGATACTGCAAGGAGACGTATTGTGTGAAAATAAATGTAAGATGTTGTATAATTGCTTATATATTTATGATCCAAGTCACATCTTCAGTTTTGGCGGCAGTTCTCCTGCTTGTCTAGAAGTCTTCTCAGCAGGGCTCTATAAATACAGAACTACGGCACATATGTAATATGTAATGCAGCCGAACCGTGTATTACAATGTCGTTATGTGATGACTTTCAAAGAGAAAAGCAAGCACACTCGGAATAAAGTATTATTGTATTTTTAAAAAACGTTTTCAGATTTCACATCACATAAACACCAAATCCCAGCATGCATTGCGGATAACCATCCAATCATCGAGCTGAGGATCTTGCCTACGTCTGTTTCCGGTTTCGTTTAATGACCGATGTATTTTGTTATACACACATTCCTTCACATTTACATTTTAATGTGCATTAAAGTATTTCGTGAGGCCTTCTAACATGTTTTTAAATATAACTACGGTTGTAGTTGAATAGTTTGTAAATTAACATGAACCGAAGCTGTTGCTTGGCAACTCAATCGCACAACGTCACGTCCGTTAATTCCACATCCACACGCATGGATTAACATCGATTTAATACATTAATGTAGCCTTTGTTTCTGCTAAAAGAGGTGTCGACCAGCTGGGGCAACAAGAAAATCACTGTAATCAAGTGTAACTATTAAAAAATAAATCATTACGTCGGGGTAGCATTTGCTTGGTATTTCCGGTTATTTCTCCACTGGTTAACATGGGTTAACAATACCGTGTAGCTGTCACGTTTGAAGGGGACGAAACCGTGACATCTTCACGTCTCCCAGCATGGTAAATCGTCACATGTTCACGTCTTGCCGTGATACCGGGTTGGTAAAAACATACTGGTGTTGAAGTCAACGAAAAAACATCGAGTTAACTAATTGAAATAAAATATTTAATTTAGTTCACATATGTTGGGCAAAGTAACCCCAACATTATTATATTTTATTCAATGTTTTAAATAAACAAGCATCCGTCATAAAACCATCATAATCTCTCACTATATAGGCCTAATCTAGATTTTTTTAAACATTTACATTTCAAATAATTCCTTTCTTAATGTAGGACCTAATTGGACATAATGTATAACTGAATGTATTAAAGTAATAATTAAATGGGTATATTACTAAACTGACAACAAGATTAAAATCAAATCATAGTGACATAAGCACTGACTGCATGCTTTTAGCACTAAGTAAAACTATTGATTCATGGTTCCTTTACTATGTATGACTTCTGACATCATATTACATCATGTGTTTAACTGGTGATTAAGGAGTGTTTAAAGTGGACCTATCATGCAAAATGCACTTTGTGATGTCTTCTCTACATAAATATGTGTCCCCGGTGCGTCGGGGAACTCACGCAGCGCCAGAAAATAAAACCCTCTCTCTTTTCCTCCGTATCCAAATCTTTTAAAAACGGGTGTACAACGAGCGGATACAGATTTGCTGCCGAACTGTCGTCAAATCGGCAGCGGACCCACAGAAAGTTGCTATCAGAAACAATGCCTGACGTGTTTTGGACGTAATCTCGTCTTTGTTTACATTAGCAAGCCTCGCTAACACTGAGAGCTAACCTGTACTGGAGAGCACATGTGTTTAAAAAGCAGGAAATAAAAAAAGGAACTCACCTTGTATATTTTTCCAATATAGCATAATAGGTCCACTTTAAAGCAAATATTGTAGTGACAGTCTGTCCTCCATGTGGTGTCCCTCACCAGGGCACCTGCAGCACTGCCCCCTGCTGGCCGGACCTTCAAACTGCACATAGCCCTTCTGTCAGCAAACTCATCACTTCATCTAATGAACCTTTCTCACAGGGAATAAATATACACTTCAACCTTAAAATAAAAAAGCTGCTTCATTATTTTTAAGTTTCGGATTCGATCCTTTTGAGGTCACGATAAGTGCATTCCGAGATTCCCCGGGTGCAATACCAGTGAATCAATAATCTTAGTCAATTTGAATAACATATATACAGAGACAGAGATATAGGAATGTAATGAAAGATTCAAAGGGCTTCAATGTCATATATATATATTCTCCAGATTCAGTTCATTTATCTGCATTCTTGTCAAATATAAAAGTGTGAAGTCCATAGTAGTGAAGAGTTGTATGTTTAGGAGCGGTGACCATCTCTGAGGAGAGGAAGGTGTGTACAGGATCTGAGAAGTTCTTCAAGATGTGTGAATCCAATGAGGTAAGAACCACAAGTGTGAACACGTTTGAATAACACACAATAGGATTTATGACTTTTGTCAACAAAAGAGAGAGAAAGAGATAAATGACCACTGCTTGTGTGTTCCAGCTGGACCTGACCTTCCATCTGTTCGTGTGCACACTGGCAGGAGCAGGAGCCGCTGTCATCGCCATGGTGATTGGAGTTCTAATTTCTCTCAGTTCTCACACTCAAACACCCTTAAAATGCAATTATTTAGCGCCTTTCTATTCTTCAAATAATTTAAACTGCTGTTACACATCTACCCTTCAAACACACATTCATACACTGATGGCAGAGCTGTCATCAATGTGCCAAATCGCGATCATCTAACTTAATGCTGATTCACACACTCGATCACAGCCGCTGGACATGAGGCAGAAAATGAATCCAGGCAGATAACGTTCAATCAATGAAACAAAGATGCCTAAAGTTCTGTCTTAATCGGGTTCTAAATGATAGACTAAATCTATGTACCCGTGAAGAAATACACATTTTGTTTTCTTTATTCACATGGAGAGGACTCCACATGGCATTGTCATTGGAGCATATCACTCACATATGTCTTTATACTGAAAGAAAAACATCTTACATTGGGAAAGTATTTATAAAAAAACTGGTGAACATTTTCTTCAAAACTAAGACCAACAAATTAGGGTCTAAAAGTAAATTGTATGCATGCACCCCCCCCCCAGGTCCACTTCCTGATGGCTCTGGCTGCTAACTGGGGATATCTGAAGGACGCCAGCCGGATTCAGAAGTATGAGGACATCAAGTCCAAAGAGGAGCAGGAGCTGCACGACATCCACTCTACACGCTCCAAAGAACGCCTCAACGCGTACACATAAACACACACCTATGGAGAAACAACACACACACACACACACACACACACACACACACACACACACACACACACACACACACACACACACACATGCCTAAACACACAATACATGAGTTAAAATGCAAACAATGCCAACATGGATTCAAATAATGATTAGTATGCAGAAACATTATGACTAGAAAGACACAATGCAGTATATCATTGGCTCAGTGATCTATGCTAACACTTTAGCATCTGCTATGTTGGTTTGCTCCATTCTTTTCTTCACCCTGACGTTTGAGTGAAAGGCCTCACGATGTACCTCAGAAAGCACTTCCCTCCTCAGAGGAGAGGAGATTGCATTCTGCTAAATCTGATTACAAGATAGCTCAATTAGAAATGTTTCAAAAGGAAGTCTGGCTATGAACTGTAAGGTCTTCGTGATATTTCTATTAAGCCTACATTTACCAAGGCCGGCCTAAGACTTTTGGGGCCTTAAGCGTGCAGTGCCCCTTCACACCCCAATTCACCAAAGTAGCTGTGCAATGTGGGAATGTGCAGAACAATCAACGGTAACTGGCCTAAAATCACATAAGGCAACCAAAATAACCATGAGAAGGCACTTCAACTTCTGCAAAATAAAAGAAAGTACAGTGCATGTTAAACATCGCACAAGAACATGCAAGATAATAGCATTAAAAGAAAGAAAAACAATGAGCAGAAGACCCCAAAGAGATGTCATTTACTCTGATTGTGTGTTGCCTGAAGCATCCAGTGTGCTGATGTTTGGGCCAGCTGGGCTTTTCCTTTTTTCCTGAACGGTAGAAAGAACATTTGTCTTTGTTTTACTGGCTGACCATCCATCACTAAGCGTAGCCATATATTAAATTATAGCATGGTGACCACCACAGCTGTCTGCAGATCTGCTGAGAGATGTTAGCATGGCACACACAGTCAACAATCTACAGAGCACACACACACACACACACACACACACACACACACACACACACACACACACACACACACACACACACACACACACACACACACATAGATGTGGCTGAGTGGTCGGTGTTGTATGATGGTGTCATGCTGTGTCGTGTCGTATCGCCACATTATGATGACAGTATTGCAGAGAAATATGGTGCCCAAGGAAATGAGAACCTCCTGGGTACAAATGGGTAACTTTGATAACTGCCCCCTCTAACCCGACCCATCCTCAAATGGTGCCCGGTTTCATTAGGGATTCTTCTTCCACCCACTGGTATGTCTCACAGGTGTGGGGTTACTGAAATGAAAAATATTTTATTGTGATCATAATGAACGATATGTTGATTGAGAATAGTTTCAGATGAAGATGAAAATGATCCCATGATATCGCTTTATTCTACTCTATAAGTCATGTCGGGTTCCTTAAGCTCATTGCGTTAAAGCTCTTAAGGTCATGTCCAACAACTAGTGAAACGGGGGCTCTGTGTCCCCCCCTCCCCAGTTTGTGTAAACTGGTGATGTGTCCTCAGAAACAGCACATCTTAGCAGCACAAAGTATTTTAAACATGTGTATGTCTGATGAATAATGTTTTTCTCACTTTTTGGAATGTTGCCACATTTATATCAGTATTATTTATGTGTAATTTTTAACATTGAGGGTATTTTAACGGGGTAGGTGTGTGTGTGTGTGTGGGGGGGGGTTATATCACTTTCACATTTTCATGTAATGATTCATAATGATATATCTAAGTGGTTCTGCACACGCACACAAATACACACAAAACACATGCACATACATATGCACCAAATATCTTGAGTTTCTTTTGATTTGATTTTTACATTTCCTTCAACAAGCCCTAATGAGACCAAAATGACCAATCAATTGTACGATTGATTTGAAAAATCACTACTAAATACTAATATTCATCTGGTCTTTCGTGAGGTGAACAGCTGTGAGTTCTGGAAGGTGTGTTGGCATCAGTGAAGCTGTGGAGGCACGTGCCTCTTATTAAACGTTGTTAAGGAATGCTCGGTTAGGAGTGGTATCACTTGAGCTGTGGGAACACTGATTCATTCAGAAAAGGAGAAAAAGGAAATCAAAGGTCTGGAAGTGCTGAAGGAAACAGGAGAATGAGATACAACTGAGGGGAAGTGGCTGCTGGGATTGATGAGGAGGAGGGTTGTTATGGAGACCAGGAGGGATGCGCTGATGGTTCAGCACAGATCTACACAGTGTTTGCCTTAAGGCTGTTCCTAGTTCAGATCTCAAAGATCTGCTTCTACACTAGATGGTGACTATTTTGATCAGCAGAAGTACACCTGCAGGGTGAAACTCAAGTAACCACCTTAGATGGGAACTTTAAACAAGGTTTAAAGAAAGAGATACATTTATATCAGCGTTCTGATTCAGATTAGGATATTTGATTCCAATGTACTTGCTGCTCCTTTTTGAGAGGCCAATTAGACTTGAGTCAGATCATTGAGTGACAACTTTTACCTATTCACTACAAACGTTTAACTATATGTTTTTTGTTGTTGTACATATGCAGTGTATACAGCAATTTATATTGAAAATAAGAGTTCATAACTAAAATAGTGATTGTGGATGGTTAGTGTACAGGGCTATTCTGTTTCTATCATATGTGTAGTTATAGAGCTGTAAGGAGTGAGGACTCTCTATCTGCCAGTAGAGATGACTGAGAACCAGTCTGTCTTCAGGAAGATCACTGCACTGATATCACACACACACACACACACACACACACACACACACACACACACACACACACACACACACACACACACACTCTCTAACACAGTCATTACTCTGAGCCGTAATTCTTTGCTGTTTTACTTTTCAACTTCTCACCAAAAAAATGTCACTACTTTATTATCAACTTTTAATCTTCTGACTTTTTAAATGTGCAATCATTTAATTAGAAAAAAAATAATGTTCTTTTTCCTTTTTGTGGGGGCGGTATTAAGCACTCAAGCTACATTAATTCTGTAAAAATACATATATGTGAAACAGTGGAGGTGAGCGGCTGGGAGAATGACTCCTGATGGGGGGGGTGTCTGTAGGAGGCGACTCAGTCCCAATGTCCTGAGCCGAGCTCCCTGACAGCTGCTCTCACACACACAGCAAACACACACAGCCTTTGCAACATGTGGTTATCTACCAGAGACATACTGTAGACTACTACAAGATGGTTTTCACATGGTAGTGGATATTCCGGCTGATTTAAAGGTAGTACACATTTAAATATCTAAAAGTAATGGTATAATTGAAAACAATCTGCAATAATGTAAAATACACAAACTGTTCATTTCAGTAAAGTGAGTAAGCTATTTTAAATAAAGTCTATGTGACTATTTGATATGAAGCAGGTAGATCAGGTACGCTCCCACACTCTCTCCAGAGTGATGGATATGACATGCAATAGCACATGGTGTGTGAGTGTGTTTCGGTGTGTTGTGTAAATGCAGATTCATTTGACCAAATGACACCCGTTCCATCAGTTTGTGTGTGTGTGGGGGGGGTCTAGTTTTACAGTAACAGTATTCTATAATTTCATAGCCTGACAATGGATGTCATGTCAGTGTTTTTAAATGAAAAAAGTATTTGTGCACTTATTGACCATTGTGAGCTCTCTCTCTCTCTCTCTCTCTCTCTCTCTCTCTCTCTCTCTCTCTCTCTCTCTCTCCTCTCTCTCTCTCTCTCTCTCTCTCTCTCTCTCTCATCGTTCTCTCTCTCTCGCTCTCTCTCTCTCGTCTCTCTCGTCTCTCTCGTCTCTCTCTCTCTCTCTCTCTCTCTCTCTCTCTGTTATTCTTGGTGTGTAAGTGCATTGAGGTCCTCTGAGGGATCTGTGTATAGTCTTGCAGCATTGGTTATAATCTGAAGAAATAACAATAATGAAATATTATCATATTTATGAAGATAATCTTATGCTAGGTACAAAAAAAAAGACAGTGAATCTTGTTGTTGTTTGTGGCATGGTTATGCATTCAATGGTCATCATTTCAATTATTAAAACAATACAAAAAAAATCATTATTTCCCACTGGCGCTGTTCTACTTTTCTTGTTTGTTTTCCTCTTCTCAGTGTGCAGTAGGTCTACTGCAGTTCCTGTTGCTAATGGTGTTGCTAAGCTAGCCTGCTTGCTCAACTGTTTACCACGAGAGCAATATATTGTAACAGTTATCTAGACTAAACACAGGTATGATCCTAAATTACAAAAATATGAGGTTATCATGAGGTTGTTAACATCGAAGTTTATCAGTGGATGTTTGCTGGAACTACTTGTTAACAGCTTGTTTCCTGACGGACACACACAGCATTGAGACCAGTCAGGTAGAGACCGGTCTCCAGTCAGCACCGATGCAGACTCGCTGTTTGATGGCTTGATAGCCCACTCCCCCTCCACACCGCTCCACACCATGGATGTATAATAAGAACTGGATACAGCGTGGGAGGCGGGGCCTCATTCATTCCTATGAGAGTTGCTCAATGGCGCATGATGACAAAATGGCCCAACTTTTGAGTGAGCGAAACGTCACAGATTACCCGGCATGCCTGAGAAGTACCCGTATGTGCACTCATAGAACATGCGCAACTTTAACCACGCCGCCCAAAAGGCTCGTTCACATTAAGCACGTGAATTTGCGTACACGTAACACACCGCGCGTTCATGACAGCATGGTACTGGATTAATATTAACGAGGCGGCAGTTAGCAGCTAGCAGCTAGCTAGTAAATTATGCTAAATTACACATCAATCGTTATGTACTTTTATATCGTTCATAATGCCGAGGGAAATAACTCTCAGAATAACGTTATTAGCACATTTTTACAACTTGAGGAACGAATGTTTTTAATAAGGGCTATACAAGTGTTCATACTGGGTTGTTTATTTAGTTTAAAAAAAAGTATCCAACGAGTTACAGACCACTCTTTCCCAATGTAAGTCAATGGGAAAAAGTGTTTCCGGGCCCAGCAACCTAAATGAAGTGTAGTACCGCCGTTTGACCAGCACGAATATTCTCATCAGACTCCGGCGCACTTCCTGGGGGCTTGGTTCACATTAAGCATGTGAATTTGCGTACACGTAACAACACCGCACGTTCATGATAGCATGGTACTGGATTTATATTAACGAGGTGGCAGTTAGCAGCTAGCGGCTAGCTAGTAAATTATGCTAAGTTACACATCAATCGTTATGTACTTTTATATTACGCTGACATCAGGATCTAGTGATATCCAAGCAACAGAGCTTCATTTAGCATGATACTTGTGTGGGTTGTACATGAAACCACTTGGTAATATATACAAATGTATAAGTTGAAGCCTGTTATGATCAATTGTGAGTTAAAACTTTATCTAAAAAGTAAAGCTGATGATGGATTACTGTGGTGGAGTTAAAATAACAATAGCCTATTTCTGTTTGAAATGTGATGGAGTGAAAGGATAGTAACTGTGATTATTCATGTTAAGTAGCCCACAAGTAACTAAAACAATTGCAAGTGCAATAAGAAGCTACAGGAACGTTAATCTACGTCGGTAATATTAACTTTATTTAATACAACATTTACGGTACAAGATTTAATCATACAGCCCATGTAGTATAATATTTTACAAATGATGAATTACAGCAAACATGTGCAATATATCCATTATTACAGCTCCGTGGGCTGGCAGTAAGGCGATATGGTCCGTTGTTATTGTGCATCCATGGGTAAAGAGAAACTCATGTAGTGCTGAACACGTAACTTGAACGTGCCGGGCAGCGCGGTCCCGTGGGTTGGATGCGCGTTCATAATGCCGAGGGAAATAACTCTCAGAATTAGCACATTTTTACAACTTGAGGAACGAATGTTTTTAATAAGGGCTATACAAGTGTTCATACTGGGTAGTTTATTTAGTTTAAAAAAAATTATCCAACGAGTTACAGACCACTCTTTCCCAATGTAAGTCAATGGGAAAAAGTGTTTCCGGGCCCAGCAACCTAAAGGAAGTGTAGTACCGCCGTTTGACCAGCACGAATATTCTCATCAGACTCCGGCGCACTTCCTGGGGGCTTGCTCCACACTCGTTGGTTTGGAACAGCACTTAATATGGCAGACCCTCCGCGTGAACGCGCAAACGGAGAGGTAGTGTGTAGGGGTAGGGTGTAGGGGGCGGTTTGGGATTGGGCCGAAGAGAAGGGATTAGACATTAGGCAGACAGGGAGAATGAAAATACATGGATACAAATCAAAGAAAACGAAAAGAAAAAGGTGGGGCCGAGAAGGCAAGAGAAAAAAAGGTGAAGTCACTCGCAGGTGAAGCATATAAATGTCGCAAATTGACAGACCTTTTTGGCAGCAGCGCTGCTACGAGCACTATCAGCAGCAGCTTAGAACAAGTGCAAGATGATGAAGAGAATGATGAGGGCGCGAGTTCAGATATACAGCCAGCCTCCTGCGTTCATGATGAGGGACAGAGTTGAACTGCTGGAAGAACCAGCTCAACTGGCACGTATACAAGTGAAGGGCAAGAGCAAGAGTAGGGTGAGAATTATCCCCTCAACTAAGTGGTGTTTTCTCCTGGAGGCCAAGGGAAGCCAGGCTTCCCCTGTTTTTTTGGATTGTAGTTATAATTTTTATAAATAAATAAAAACACTTCGTTTAGTTTTGGTAATTATTCTTTGTTGTGTGTTGCTGCCGGCCAATCCCTCCCCCATTCTCATTGAGTATTTTACAAAGGGTGAAACAGCGCCCCTCTTGATGTTATGGTGAAACAGTAGATTGCACTCTCTGTTGCGAGAGGAGGCTGTCACTACCCGATCTGCCCCCCTTGCCCCGATCTGTGCTGCGCATGTGCGAGATGGTCCGCCATATTGGACAACTACATACGGCAACTCTAATAGGACACTTGACACAGTGGCTTTTGGCAAAGCAGAAAAAGAACAGAGAGAGATGAGTTATTGTTATTACAACGTGACTTCAGTATTATTTAACCTGTTAAGCTCCAAGGTCCCCGTCGGCGGGTACTTTTTCTTTTTTTTTCACGACATTGTGTCTCAGGGGATCTTAATATTTAAGAACCTTTGTGTTATAATGTGTTGTACCAGATTAACGGGAATAATCTCAGCTAACTGACGATACAAACCATTTTTACCAAAACAAAACACAAGTCTCATAAGAAGCATGAGCGAAAAATGCTAACGCATTTTGGCACAGAACTCAAGATAAAAGATACCCTTATCAAGGGCGCCAGAAGCGGGGGGGCCAGGGGGCCATTGGCCCCCCCAATTTTCAGCCCTGCCCCACATTTTCGCAGCAGCAGATTATTATTAATTTTTTTTTCTTTTCAGTCTTTATTTCGAACAGATTCAAAAATAACAAATAAAAAATAACAAATGTGAAAAACAGAATACCGTATTGTTATAATACAGTATTTATCCACATTCATGGTAATATTTGTATATTCAACAAAAAAAAACAAAAAAAGTCTTCATATTAATAATAATAATAAATCATATCTCTCCGAAAGGGAGTAGGAGGAAGCAAATGCTTATTAATTCCCACCCCTTACTTGATCAATGATTGTCCTTTAAATCATTATGCAAGTTATTCCTACTTAGATTTACATGTATACATACATATACAATAATTTCTCATCTTCAATCACCTTTCTTCATTCTCATATTTTTCCAAAAAAGTGTTTCTGTACATCCTTTTAAACTGAATGATGCTTGTGCTTTGTTTGAACTCCTGCTCCAAACCATTCCATGAAATCACCCCACAGATTGTTAAACTCATACTTCTCAGAGTTGTTCTGACCTTGAGTTGTTTAAAATGTAGATTTCCTCTCAAATTATACCCACCCTCTCTGTCTATGAACAATGTTTTTAATTTCCGAGGAAGTAGATTATGGCTTGCTCTGTACATGATTTGTGCCGTTTTAAATTTAACCAGATCAATGAACTTCAATATGTGTGACTTCAAAAATAATACATTAGTGTGTTCAAGATATCCAACATTATTGATAACTCTTATAGCCCTTTTTTGTAATGTGCATAACGGCTGTAGGTTGGTTTTGTACGTGTTTCCCCAAATCTCCACACAGTAAATCAGATATGGCAATATTAGTGTGTTATATAGAGTATACAATGAGTTATAGTCCAGAATGTATCTGGCTTTTCCCAATGTTGCGATAGTTTTAGCCAGTTTTGCTTTTACATGAGTGATATGAGGTTTCCAGCTGATTTTGTGGTCTAAAACCACACCAAGGAACTTAATTTCATATACTCTTTCTATGTGTATGTTATCTAGTATTAATTGTATCTGTGGATTTGTTTTATGTTTTCAACAAATTCAACAAATTGTTGTCTGTTGCTTAAATAATCTCTCACCCAGTTTAATCCCACCCCTCTGATGCCATACCGTTCCAGTTTTATCAGTAAAATATTGTGATCTATGGTGTCAAATGCTTTTTGTAAGTCTATAAATATTCCCACTGCTTGTTTTTTATTGTCCATGCAGTTAGCTATTTCCATAGATTGCCATAGATGTTGATCTATCTTTCCTGAATCCATATTGACTGTCGTCCAAAAGCTGATGTGTTTCCATGAAACTGTGCCGCGGAAAACTGTACAAATCCCGTTTCAATAATTCCCCTCTACTCTAAAGTCGCATCTAAAACGTGATCTGATCTAGCTGTGTATATTTTGTTATTTTTGATTGTTATATTAAATCTCACTAGCTACAGGCATGTTTGAAGCTTGTAAAGGGAAGATGACAGCTCTCGCCACTCTGCTGTTCCTCAGCGCCGCCCCCCTCCCTCCCGCTGAAATTATGAATGTAAGGTGTATAGTAATCATAGATAACACGGCAGGGTCCGTTACAGTTTGTTTTTATCTGATTTCAAATAAGCAAAGTCTTGGCTTTCAGAATATTAAACTTGTTTCAGCAAATTCAGATGATAAATACAACTTTGAAGCTTCGGCATAATTACAAGCGGAGAACGGAGCAGCTTAACGTCACAGCAGCCATAACAACAGCCGGTGTTTCT